AGGGGTCCGTCATTCAGTGCCTTCGCCGTGTGTGTGCCCGCGCCGTCGGCGCATGCCAACGTCCGCGCGTGCGCGCTTGCGCGTGTGCGCGTCGGCCTGCGAACATCGGCGGCAAGCGCGGAGAACGCCTTCTCAGAAGGCTAGATACCATAGTACGAATGATAACAACAGTCCTGTTAACAGCAATGGTAATAGTACAAGTAATAACAAGAATGGCAATACTAAAAGTAATGCGAATTGTTCTTTTTCAAAAAACTGCCAAGCCACCCGCGCCCAACCCGAAGGCACCAGACCTGAACTGCCTCGATGCGCCCGCTTTGAGACGCAGCACGTGCCGGGCTTCAAGCGTCCGTGCCAATACTTTGCGTGCTGGCTCGGCGTACTGGCCCACGTCTTGGCGAGCGGCGTCAGACCCACGTGTTCAGTCTGCGTGCTGAGCTCCGTATCGCTTACGCTGCTTGTTGCGCGTTGCATCTCGGGGCAGCTGAGCCAGACCCCTCCAAACGTCCGGTTGGGGGCCGTACGGGTTCCATCGTGTTTCCTTGATGTTCCGGAGCGTCCCCTCGCCCGAAGTCGAAGGGCCAAGCCCGACGTCGGGCTGGGCTGGGGTGGTCTGGCAGGTGGTCGCCCCAGCGCCTGGCCAGGGCCCCAGAGACCAGGGCCCGCGCCGAGGGCGCCGTCCCGCTCTGGCCCAAGGGGGGGACACAGTCACCCCGCACAGTGCAGTCGGACCGAGGTATAAGATCGAGATCGCTTCGGGAAGGGTGCCCGCATGATCCTCCGTGGTTGTCGGATACGCAGCAGCCGCCGCGCCCCGTGCGGCGGGGCTGGCCACGCCTCACGCTTCGGGAGCGTTCTGGCCCCTGAGCCGCCCGCCCCGTCTTCATTTTCCTTCGGCCGCGCCCCTCGTCCCTCTGCCTCCTGCGTGGTGGCACAATTTAGCCTAACGGTGCCCCCGCTCATGCCATTCATCGCCAGCGCAGTCACTCTCTGCCGGCGGGCCGCCGACGCGAAAGTGTCGTTGGATGCTCTTGTGCATCCCGGGGGTGGGACCCTTGGATGTTCTGTGTGCTTTGGCCGGCGGAGGGTCCCATGTTCTTGAAGGATGCTCTTCTGTCCCAGGTCCGGCTGTAAGGACGATCGAAGTCCCAGGGGGGCGCTTGCATCCTTGCCTCTTCGGTCATCTTCGGCCCATCCTCAGCCACTTTCGCTGGCCAGCCCCGCTTGAAGAGCCTTTGCATGGGCGTCCAGGGCTCTTGCATCGTTGCCGCGCATCTTTACCATACGGGTTGCCTGTAGGCTCAGGGGGAACGCACCGACCCCCCAAGCGCCCACTGGTCGCCGATAGGGCTCTGATGGCCCCACCCCGCCCAGGAACGTGCGGGTTCGCCATGGGGGCTTATCGCCGATCTATCGGCGATGTATCGCCGATTTCAGGTCGATGTTGCCCCCCTATGTCTACCCCCCCTGTCGCTGCCCCTTCTTAGAAGCCTTCCCGGAAGACACAACAAGACCTCTCAGAAGGCGAGGGTGCCTCTGAGAAGTCCGCCGCCTTCTGAGAAGGCCTCCTCCTTGACAGCTCCCCATCCATCTAGGCCTCCTATAGATGGGGTCGGAGTAGATTGGGTGGGAGGATCGCGCCGCATCGCCGATGCATGACCGATGCGGCTGGATGTGGAGCCCGATTTGCTTCACGTCGATATTGCCGATGCATCGCCCACGTCGACGATGCATCGCTGGTGCATCGCCGATGCATCGCCGATGCATCGCCGATGTATCGGCGATGCGGCGCGACCCTCCGACCCCATCTAGGAGGCTTTTACCCCCTCATTCGCCGCCGAGCATCAGCGATGCCCCTCATCCGGCCCGAACGTTGCCCCTCATCCGGCCCCAGCCCGCGACCCCGTCGCGCCTGGGCCGCCGCCCGCGGACGAAGACCTGCACACGGTCTGCGCCTGCCCCCCCTCCAACTCCTCCTCCTCCTCCTCTTCCCTCCTCTTCCCTCCTCCTCCTCCTCCTCCTTCCTCTTCCCTCCTCTCCTCCTCCTCCTACTTCCCCTCCACCTTCCTCCTCCTCCTCATCCTCCTTCCCCCCTCTCCTCCTTTCTCCTCCTCCCCCCCCCCCCACCTCCTCCTTCCTCTTTCCTCCTCGTCCCTCCTCCTTCCTCCTCCGCACTCTCCTCTCCTCCTCTCCTCCTCGTCTTCCCTCCTCTTCCCTCCTCTTCCCTCCTCGTCCTCCTCCTCCGCCTCCTCCTCCTCCTCCGCCTCCTCCTCCTCATCATCATCATCAGCATCAGCATCATCATCATCCTGCTCATTATCCTCTCTTCTCCCTCCTCGTCCTCCTCCTCCTCCAACTCCTCCAACGCCTCCTCCGACTCCTTCTCCTCCTCCTCCTCCTTTTCCTCCTCCTCCAACTCTCAATCCAAACCTCCCTCCAACTCCCTCCTCTCCGCCGCCGCCGCCGCCTCCTCCTCCTCCTCCTCCCCCTACTACGACTACACTCCGCTACTACTACTACTACTACTACTACTACTACTACGACTACTACTACAACTAATACTATACTACTTATAACGACTACGACTAATACTACTACGACTATACTACTACGACTACTACTACTACTACTAAATACTCCTACTGACTGACTACGACTACTACTACTACTACTACTACTCTACTACTATACTACTACTACTACTACTACTACTACTACTCCTACTACTAGTACTCTACTACTAGCATACACCACTACCACTACCATTAACACTAACCATACCACTACCACTACCACTCTAACCACTACCACTACCACTACCACTAACCACTAACCACTACCACACTATTTACATTACTACTCTACTACTACTATACTACTACCACTAACTACCAAATACTACCACACTACACTGCTACCACTACTACCACTACCACTACTCCTACTCCTTACTCCTACTACTACTACTACTACTACTACGACTACTACTACTACGCTACTACTACTACGACTACTACTAACTACCTACTACTACTACTACTACTACTACAACACTACTACTAAACTACTACTACTACTACTACTACTAACTACTACTGCCTAAAACTACTACCTACTACTACTGCTACTACTCTACTACTACTACTACTACTACTAACTACACGGCTACTACCTACTACACTACTACTACTACTACTACTACTACTACTACTACTACTACTACTACCACTACACACTACTATATCTACTACTACGACTACTACTACTACTACTATCACTCCTACTACTACCGTTGCTGCTGCTGCTGCTGCTATTGCTACTACGACTTCTGCTACTACTACTACTACTATTACTACTACTACTACTACTACCACTACTACTACTACTACTACTACTACGACTACTACTACTATTACTACTACTACTACTACTACTACGGCGACGACGACGACTCTTACAACTACTACCACTACTACCACGACTACTACTACGATTACTACGACTACTACTACTACTACTACTACTACTACTACTACGGCTACGGCTACGACAACGACTACGCCTACGCCTACGACGACGACGACGACGACGACGACTACTACTTCTACTACTACCACTAGTACTTCTACTACGACGACTACTACTAATGTTACTACTACTACGACTACTACTACGACTACTACTACTACTACCTACCTACCTACCTACCTACCTACCTACCTACCTACCTACCTACCTACCTACCTACCTACCGACCTACCTACCTACCTACCTACCTACCTACCTACCTACCTA